CGCCGCGAGTAGACGACGCTTGACACCCGCGCTCCTAGCCGCCCGCCTCCGCCGCGGCTACCTCCCATCCGCCCATCTCCAGCTCTCCCAACTCCTCCACTTCAAGAACGGTGAGGATTTCTTTTTACACGCTTAAAAATGATGTTTTTATCTTCCTAGATGCTTGGATTAGGTTGTAATTTTGGAGTTTTTACAAAAAGTCCGAATTTTGAAACTAAATTAAGTAGGGGGGGGGGGGGGGGGGGGTGGAATCTGTAGTCTATCGTCTTGCTATTGCTGTAAATTCTGTGGTGGAATTAGGGTTTTGAGTGAAAGAAGGCAAAAGGGGTTTTGCAGAATTTAAGTGGAAAATTTTCTGATTATATATATATTGCATTATATTCAGGGGAGAGATCTTAAACTCTTCGGTTCTACCAATGCCTGTAATTAAGAATTTTCTTCATTTTCTTATGTCTTCTTAAAGTTTTTAACTTTTGGTGATTTGCACAGCTCTGGAAGAAATGCCAATAGCGGTGGAGATTGATAAGGCCAAATCACAGCATTATGAGCTACCGACAGTATTTTTCAAACTTGTTCTTGGGAAGAATCTCAAATATAGGTTTCAACACTGTCCCTGTTGTTGGTTTTGTTAAGCATTTAGTTAATTGATTTTTTTTCTTTTTTTTTTGGAAGATTTACATAGGTACCTCTTAATTCAGATGTATTTATATATCTAACACTTTAAATGCAAATTTTTACATAAAAGTAATAATAATAGTATTTTTTATGTGTATGAAAGACCTGGGCAGTATAAATGTAAAGAAGAAAAGTTCAGGTTTTAGATATGCAAATTCATAGGAATTGGGTTGTATTTATATAAATGTCCCATTTTTTAAAACGAGTATAAAATTATTTTTTTAGTTCTATTCAGGAGGTTATGATTTATGATTTATAATTGAGGTGATAGTTAATATTTAAGATGTTATCGGAGCGATTAATGAATTTGAGATCATACCAAACTCACCTATTTATGTTTAATCGTCCAACATAAAGCATGGTATGTTGCATATAAGAATTGTTCTCTTTTGTTTTTTTGCAGCTGTTGTTACTTTGAAGACAGTGCAAGCACACTTGAGGATGCTGAGGTTGCAATGTTTGATCTGTATTGTGAAAGAGCTCAGATAGAAGATGGCCAATCAATCCTTGACTTAGGATGTGGCTGGGGCTCTCTCTCTTTGTATCTTGCAAAGAAGTACAAAAATTGCAAAATTACTGGGATATGCAACTCAAAAACGCAGAAAGCATATATCGATGAGCAGTGCAGGTTTATTTATTTATTTTATTTTTATTTTTTTTTGGGTCATAGATAGGATGTTATTACTTCTATTTTTATGTTGTGTGGAGCTAAATATTATTTTATGTTGTCATTTTTTTTTCATTCTGGATTCTGATCTGTATGCTTGTGCCAAAATTACAAGGAATATTTACATAACACCTAAACTTTAATTTTTACATATATATGTCACCTTGCGAAATGAATATATCCGTGATAGGGTTGGTGTAGCTCTAGTGACAGACAAAATTAGAGGGAGTCGTCTTAGATGGTTTGGTCACATTAAATGTAGACCATTTGATGATCCGATTAGGAGAGTATATGTTTTAGATTGACTTATGTTAAGAAAGGTAGAGGTAGACCTAGAAAGACTTGGGTATATTGAATAAAAAATGATCTTAATTTATTAGAATTAAATGAAAATATGACACTCAATAGGACACAATGGAGAAAAAGGATTCATCTAGCCAACCCCACTTAGTGGGATAAATGTTTGTTGTTGTTGTTGTTGTTGTTGTTGTTGTATGTCATCTTGCCTATGTATAAAAAGATGTATTTCACTTTTTAAAAGTTAACACAGTGGTATTCTTGATGTGATAGGAAAGATTTAGGTGATATAAATGTAAAAATGTAAAAGTTTAGGTGTTAGATGTGTAAATACATAGGAAATGGTTGGTGTCTATGTAAATGCTCCAAATGTCTAATGTTTCTCTTGCTAAACATGAGAAAAGTTTTAGTTATCCAGAAAGAAGAGTGAACTCTAGGCATTATTTGATTGGCTTAATTTCCAATAGTGTTTTAATACTGTATTAAAACAAAGTAGGTTGTTTCATCTGATTTTAGTGACTAATAGCTGGTAGACCGACCTCCGTTTGACCATAGTGCTTTCTTGTTTAAATATAACCAGAGTGAATGGTGTAAATTGCCTTTAACAAAAACCAACTTGTTTTGATATTTTCTTGTTAGAGGGGGTTTATTCAATTTGCTACATTGTTTATGTGATGAAACTATGAAAGTAATCTTTTAGTTGTTTTGTATAAAACAATGCCTATGATCTTGGCTTTTATATGAATGAGATGTAATCTCTAGTACTTTGAAAAGTTTGTCAAGTCTCTTTCTTTATTTCATGGTTTTAGTTTATCTAATTGTCTGCCAATTTAGATATATAGAGTTTTAAATGATTCCCCTTAGGGAAAATTTTCCACTATTTTGTTGTTTGTTTTGGCCGTCTTTCTCCCTACTTACTATTTCCATCTTTGTGCTAATTCTTGACTCTTGTTATTACTTTGGTAATGGTCTATTGTTTCTCCTTATTTCTCTTGATTCCCATGCCATACATTACTAGAAAGTGTTTGCCATCCGTACATTATAAGTAAGCTTTTACTAAAATTATGAATTAGTATCTTATAAATTACTTTTTATTTTTTCATCTTACATATCATCCTAGGATGCATTTGAAGGCCTAAACGCTTATTTTTTTTATCTTCTTTTTTTTTTTTTTTTGGTGGCGATAGGGAACATCAACTCTCAAATGTAGAAATTATCATTGCAGACATCAGCAAACATGAAATGGATGCATCTTTCGATAGAATTATATCGATAGAGATGTTTGAGGTTCGTGTCTTTTAACCCGAAAGACGAGCTCTTGTGTTTTTGCACCATAAAACAAACCTGATTTTTTTTCTTTTTATGACAGCACATGAAGAACACATGAAATGGATGCATCTTTCGATAGAATTATATCAATAGAGATGTTTGAGGTTCGCGTCTTTTAACCCGAAAGACGAGCTCTTGTGTTATTGCACACATAAAACAAACTTGTTTTTTTTTTCTTTTTATGACAGCACATGAAGAATTATAAGGCACTTCTCAACAAAATATCCAAATGGATGAGGCCTGAAAGTCTACTTTTTGTTCATCATTTTTGCCACAAAACATTTGCTTACCATTTTGAGGTATCAATTTATTTTCTTATTTGTCTTCAAAAAGTTTTTTATGGAGGCCTTTGATTCCTTCAAGTAAATTTATTTTTACTTTTCAGTCTAAATATTGATTTTTGCAGGAGTGCTTCAACGCTTGTCATTGTTTTTGCTTTTTATTTGGAATATTTACATGCATACCAAACTCAATTCCTATGTATTTACATATCTAACAACTAAATTTCACTTTTTTAAATATGTACCACCTTACCTATGCTTGAAAAGGTGTATTTCTCTTTTTAAAAAGTTAACATGATGGTATTTTTTATCTGATATTAAAGATTTTGAGGGGATATAAATGTAACAAGGCAAAGTTTAGGTGTTAGATATGTAAATACATAGAATTTGGGTGGTAGGTATGTAAATACCCCTCCCCCCCCACCTTTTCGCAGGGATGCTGACCTTGCGAAACCTCAATAATAATAATAATAAGCTTTTAATGATCATTGATCCATTCAGGATATAAATGATGATGACTGGATCACAAGGTATTTTTTCAGTGGTGGAACAATGCCATCTTCTAACCTGCTGCTATATTTCCAGGTTAGCTAATTTTCATGATATATATATATATATATTCCTATTCTATTTTTCTCAGAATCTGAAAGCTCACTTCTTCTTAAAAAGGAAATTAGCAACCATCCATTCATCTCCATTGTTGTATGCAAAAAGCTCGGCTACAGAAATGAAGAAAGTTCTCCAATAAGCACTCCATTTCCTGGCTGAATCTTTTCCATAGGTGGCCTCCATTATGGGTCTTATAGCATCTGCTTCCTTATCCATTCTCCTCAGCCATTCTTCACTGCATGAAAGTCCCAATTTTAAAATTATGATAAAAACCCCAAACTTTTGTTTTATTTTATTTTTATTGATGAAAAATGCATAAATATAAGGTGCCGAGTTCATCTAAATCTGTGGGTGAGATTATGGGTGAGTATTCAATCAGTTTCGATGAATCGGTTTCCAAATTGATCAAAATAATTGCAACCGAAATTCGAAATGTGAAAACTTGAACCAATCAAAATTTTGATAAAATCGAACTCACCAAACCAAAATTTAATTCGATTTAAATTACTCGATTAGGAATAAATCGAAATTTACTTGTTGGAATTTGACTATGATCAAACATCAAGAACTATATATCTTAGATGTATAATAACGATTTAATTTCACGAATACTCCATTTAATTTTGAATTTGTGGTTTTCGGTTCGCTCTGATGAATGAATTAAGGAAAAAAAAAAAAAAAACCAATATGCATTTTTGAAATCAAACCAAATTAACCAAATTTGGTTAATTTGGTGTGATTTCAAAAATGCATATTGGTTTTTTTTTTTTTTTCCTTAATTCATTCATCAGAGCGAACCGAAAACCACAAATTCAAAATTAAATGGAGTATTCGTGAAATTAAATCGTTATTATACATCTAAGATATATAGTTCTTGATGTTTGATCATAACCGAATTCCAACAACTAAATTTCGGTTTATTCCTAATTAAGTCATTTAAATCGAATTAAATTTTGGTTTGGTCAGTTCGATTTTATCAAAATTTTGATTGGTTCAAGTTTTCACATTTCGAATTTCGGTTGCAATTATTTTGATCAATTTGGAAACCGATTCATCGAAACTGATTGAATGCTCACCCATAATCTCACCCACAGATTTAGATGAACTCGGCACCTTATATTTATGCATTTTTCATCAATAAAAATAAAATAAAACAAAAGTTTGGGGTTTTTATCATAATTTTAAAATTGGGACTTTCATGCAGTGAAGAATGGCTGAGGAGAATGGATAAGGAAGCAGATGCTATAAGACCCATAATGGAGGCCACCTATGGAAAAGATTCAGCCAGGAAATGGAGTGCTTATTGGAGAACTTTCTTCATTTCTGTAGCCGAGCTTTTTGCATACAACAATGGAGATGAATGGATGGTTGCTAATTTCCTTTTTAAGAAGAAGTGAGCTTTCAGATTCTGAGAAAAATAGAATAGGAAGATTTACATACATACCCACTCAGTTCTCATGTGTTTTTACATATCTAACCCCTAAACTTCATTTCTTACACATGTCATCTTACGTGTATTTCACTTTTTAAAAGTTAAAATTGTGGTACTTTTTGATGTGATATGAAAGATTTGGGCGGTAAAAATGTAAAAAATCAAAATTGATATGTTGGATATGTAAATGTATTAAGAATTGGGGGTGGTTTGTATGTAAATGTCCCAATAAGATATTCTGCAGCTGTATCTTCCAATGGCAGCTTAGTTTGTGCCCAACATATGTGTGCTAATAATGGCGCTTTATTACTTTTCATTGACATTCACTCCCAGAGGAAATCTCAGAAACTGTTTGCTTTTTTAATTATCAATATTATATTTAAATATTTGAATTCTTTTAAAAGTGAAATATTAAATTTATATATACATACTGCATGTCATGTGTTTAAAAATTATGGCAAAAACATTTGAATTTTATGACAATTAAAATATTTATATACCGATAATAATTTTTTAAAAAATATATATATTTCAATCATTTCTAAAAAAGTATAGTCAACGCAAATAAACCCATAAATGCAATAGCTGCATTATCAAAAATAGTCAAAGGGGCTCATTAGTAATTAGGAAGATTTACATACATAGCATTTAATTCCTATTCCCATGTATTTACATATGTACCACTTAAAATTTCTATTTTTATACATATGCTACTTTATCTCTTGAAAAAAATACATTTTCACTTTCTAAAACATAAAAGTGGTATTTACATACAATTTAAAAATAAATGCAAGTGTTACATATGTAAATACATAAGAATTGGGTGGTATGTATGTAAACGCCCCGAGTACCGACTAGGTCTGTCAAAACGGCTCGTCGTTCGCGAACAGCTCGT